ATCTGGTGATAATTTCATGTCAATAGCCCCATTAGAAATATATTTACTGAGAAAAATGTTGACGCGTTCATTACTTATTTTTCCCGCTGTTTGTAGGCTATATGCCTTTTATTTTTTTCTTATTAATTTAAACATGTCTATCTTCCCATTTTGGGAAAGTCGTCTCAGACTTTTGGACCCTAATGTATACAATATTATATCAACATATACTGACAGGCTTTGGGGTGGATATATATTTATGTGACATACCCTATGTTTATAAGCATACATACATAAATATGTATCAGTAGATATGTGTCAGTAAATGAAACTGTTGTTGTTATTATAGGTTTCCTACATAATTTTGACATAAAATATATATGAAACCTATAAAAAAAAGAACATATATGTTCTTTGATTACATATGGCATATATGGACATTCAATATAAGTACATATATTACATTTATATATTTATTTTATTTTTACATTATTTATATTATATTATTTTATATTACATTTGTCTATGGTTAATAAATATTAAAGGTAAAAATGTACTTAAAAATGGACATTTCCAATTGTATCATTGAAATATTTCCATTAAAAATTTCATTTAAAAATAAAAGCCCAGCGTCTGGTAGTTTCCAGTGTTGTTATCAGTTTGTTCTGTGAGACATTCAATTGAAAAGTCAGAGTTGTCATTAAGATCAATTTCAGTTTAATTATTCACAACCCAAAGAATGAGAAAGAAAACAAGAAAGGCTCTTTAACAATCTACAGTCATCAACATCATCGTCGTCATATAACTCCTCATCATCAGAACAGATACAGCATCTGAGTGATCATATGAACTCTAGAACAGAATGTCTCCCTGTACGTCTTCTAAACACTGATTCTCTTGTTACTTTCTCCGTCCCTGTGGGACACTCAGATCTATGAAACAAACCCACCACATCACTCAGACTGGGCAGGAAGTGTGTGTGTGTGTGTGTCAAAGGTGAAGCTGAACTAAAACACAGGTGATGCAGGAGGAATGATGTGAGCAGCACCTGACTAGGTGGATCAGGTGGAGCGTGCACCTCACATCACATGCAGGTTTATAAACATAAAACATAAACATAGATCACACTGATTGATTATTTTTGTTCATTGTTCATTGATCAGTTATGAGTGTTTAGTAAGAAGAACAGACTGGCTGCTGTTTCTCCCACCTGCGTTCTGTCTGTGATCCATTAACAAATGTTCACGGTCTCTCACAATCTGTTCACCAGTTACAGTCAGTCAATGTGTTAATGTCCACACAGGACGGGGTTGAGCTCCAGCTGTTTTGTGACATCTACCTGCTGCTGACAGGAAACCTGATGCTGACGACCTGATGATGTCAGCCAGGTCAGAGGTCAGAGATCAGGCGAGAGTCCATCCCTCCATACTCCAAGTTAAGACCAATCAGCGTCCTATGAGGGAGCAGCTACTGGCAGCTGTGGGTGTGTCTTATGTGGCCTCCTGAAGAGGTTAGCATAGACGCTGCTTAGCATAAGTTGATCAGTTTGATTTGACCAACTGGTTCCACTAGTGGTGACATGGGCAGGCCACAGAATCTGACTGGTTTCCCAGATGTTCTGTATAACAACACATCTGGCTCCACTGTCACTGTCACACAGGTTGTTCTGATTCCTATAAATAACACTGATCATCCCTTTATAAAAGCTGCTGCTGCTCAACCTCAAACCCTGTAGCTACTGATGTACACAAGCAAACCACCTTCACTCTCTTTACCTCTCAACATCTGGATCAGTGTCTCCAGACCACTATCAACACGTCATGCGTCGTGCTGTCAGACTGGTTTCACACTCATCACCTTCACCAGTGTTTCTCTTTATCAGGACTGTTCTGTTCTGACGTGGTCACATGGTGATGTTTTCAAAGACTGTTACAGGACTGTCCAGACTACAGCCCCCACACAAACAATGTCAAACACTGGAGCTAGTTCACATCTGAATATGAAGGAAACACTGAGAACGGACAGAGGAGCCAAACCTTCTGATTCAAGTAAACTACCAGTCCAACGCCTGACAACAATCTACAGTCTCTATGATTCTGACATTAAAGCTCCATATAATATAAAGGTAGTTGTCCATGTGTTGATTGATTACAGATCAGGTCTAGGTTCTATATTAATACTGTGAAAGTATCAAAGCGTTCAGTTGACAGAGAAATGCACACAGCCTGCATTCAGAAACTGAGCCTCAAAACCATCCGTCAGCATTTCTGGAACTTTGTGATGTCACAACAAAGTCACCAAGCAAGTCTCACCAGGACCCACCATCCAACCATGCAGGATTTGGTTTCTCTGAGTGTTTAACTGAAATCTGCTATATTTTTATTGGATCACTCAGAAAATAGAGGCAAAGAGCCTCCTCTCCTCTGACTGGCTCACCGACCTGCCGTACTAGAGCTCCAGAGAGAAGCCTGAGAGGAGATGAAGAGAAAATATGGAGCTTTAAACATAGATTCTAGATGTCTGACTCCTCCAGCTGAACTCTTCCTGTCTTTCTTTCTACAGTGGAGATCAGACATTGTTCAGAAAGTTGGTCCACTAATGTGTGTCACTGTCAGCTTCAGTGCAGTTCATCCCAGACCAGTTCCATGAGGTTCAGATCTGGAGACTGTGCTGGTCTTCATCATGTTGCTGTAGGATGAAGCTCTGACCAACCAGTCTTTCTTCCTCTGTTCCTGCTCTGTCTCCCTCCACTCTGACAGCAGTATACAGTCCTACCTCCTGCAGCACAGTGTTGTCATAGTGATTATCAGAGGGTGTAGTGACACCATTTGTACAGAGGAAGTGTTTCATTTACTTCCACTGCTGCAGGACAGACGGATGTTCACTAGTTCCTTCATCCCTGATAAAGACCCTCACTGCTGACCTTTGACCTCACTGCTGACATTTCAATGTTGTGTATCTGTCAGTGTTCACACAAGTTATGATGAAGTGATCAGACAGGTTTTTAACAGAAGAGAAAAACAACAGTGGACAAAAGCTCTGTGATGTTACTGTCATGGAAACTGATGACTGAAACCAGGAAGTGACAGAGGACACTGACTGGCTGCTGCTTCATGCTGCAGAGACACTGATGAGTCCTACTCTCTGCGACATGATGTGGAAATGAAGTGCTGATCAAACCTGTGTGCTGTGTAAGTGGGACCCCCCCCCCCCCCACTGCTGTGGTAGTCTGATCTAGTGATGACTCAGTCTGAGAACCCCCCCCCCCTCTCCAGAAGGAGTGATGGAGAGGAGGAGTGATGAAGAGGAGGAGTATGATGGAGAGGAGTGATGGAGAAGAGGAGTGAGGAGGTGGTGTGGATGACAGATTAGTGTTAGCGGGAGAGTGAAACAGAGTGTTGGTTGTGTCACTACAGGACTGCAGTGCTGCTGACTCCCCCATCCCACCATCACACCGCTAACACCTCAGTGCTAACACCTCAGTGCTAACTCCTCACGACTAACACCTCAGTGCTAACACCTCTACAAAGCTAACACTTCTTCTTGTTCTGGCTCTTCAGACAAAACAAGTTTATCAGACAGGCCAATTGTGACCCCCCCACCCCCCATCCCTGCGGGGCCCCTAAACGACGGACCCCAGCAGTAAGACTCTCACCTACTTCACTCCAGTTGGTGTCATGTTTATTGGACAGGTGGGCTCCACTTCATCTGTGTCTAGTCTTGGAAATGAAGATGTCTGATGTGTGCAGCAGCAGACACCTGCTCGCTCTCCCATCATGCCCTCTTCTGCTAGCTGTTTGTTATGGAGGAAGCAAAGGCAACCAACAACTGAAAATGAAAGCTGCCCATCCGTGCAGCAGCCATATTTGTTTGGGTAAAGGAATGGAGACACACCTTGGGGCAGGCTTTAAAATTTTAATTCACTGCAAATGGAAGGGAAAGCTTTGTTAAAGACCCATGCATTCTTTAAGCTGCAGTAATGATTATTTTATAGTGAGAGTGGATCAGATGACTGTGTCAGTGACGAATCCACACACTATTGTTACCATGCACTCAGCCTCAGTCCTGGACCTGCTCAGCAGCAGACAGACTGAGGCAGAGAACAGCTGTGAACATGCTGGAGCTGGAAAGGATGAAACACTGAACTAACAGAGAGGGAACTGGCTGATTTCTCGCATGTAGGACAAGCATGCACAAGTCTGGTCTGAAACAGATGGGGTCAGGTCCAGCCCTGTTGCTGCGACAGTTGCCAGCTCTGGCTCAGGACTGAAGAGTCCTGGCTCTACACTGAGAGACATGTACAGCAGCTGTTAGCAAGTCTCCTGCACAAGCTGAGCTGACCTCAGACAGCTACCTGAGCTTTTATCAGTTTTAGCTGTCTGACCAGCTGTATCAAGGCTCGATCACAACCGACCAGCAGCTCCCTTTCTGAGCGAAGTCACTGTGTGAGACACTCAGGACACAGGAGGCAGGAGACTGACATGTCTGTCATCCTGTTAGCGTCTCTTCAGCTCAGAGCTTTTTCTCTCTCTACTGTGAGATGATCCTGAGAAGAAGCTTGACACACAGCTGTTGTTGCCAGGTTGTTAGCTGTTAGCTTGTCAGCAACAGCAGCTCACCAATGTGCCAGTCTCTGCTGCTGCAATGTCTTCTGTCGACACAGAAGTCAGGGAACTAGCAGAATGCAGTGTCGTGGTCTTTGGTGAGAGTTACTGCCCGCTGCCCTCAGGTAACTCACCTAACATATTCATGTGTGGAGCAGGTAAGTGTCTGACAGAGCTGATGATGTTCCCTCCAAATCCTGTGTCTGAATTGAACCTAACATAAGAGCCGACATCTACCTTCTACTGACAGACCCTCCAACACACAGCTACTGACACTGGTGTAGTGTTACAAAGACTGACTTCTGTCAGGGGGAGTGCACTTGTGTGTTTATAAGGTTTTCTGATTGCCAAATAGCAACAACACCCACACACACACACACACACACACACACACACACACACACACACACACACACACACACACACATACACACACACGAAATGGCAGAAGAGGAGGGTGGGAGGGAGCGATGGACAGAGGGAGGAGGGTGAGTGTATGAACGGCCAGATACAAGTGTGAACATTTAAAAACAACGCAACAACCTGAGACTAGTGTGGGGCGGGGTGGGTCGCAGGGTGATGGAGGAAGGGAAAAGGAAAGAGAAAAAGATCGACAGACTGATATTTAGAGAGAGAGACAAATAGTGCAACAAATATAAGTAAAGCGAGACACCTCTTGAATCTGGGAGATGGGGGGGGTAGAAAAGGTACAAAGACAAGAGGAGGACAAGGAGTCAGGGTGAGGAGAGAGAGGGAGGTCAGGGAGGGAGGAAGGGGGGAGGGTGAGACAGCAAGGAAGAATTGAGAAGAAGAAGTTAGACATAGGAGCAGTAGTGCTTTCAGGAGTATGGCTGTGGGACTCCATATCCTGGTCTGTAGACGGGTCTCCCCGTCGGTGACTGAGAAGAGGAAAAGGGGGGCCCAGCGGGGTAGCTGTAGCCACCGTAGCTGTAGGAGGCCGGGTAGGGCGCAGGGCCACTCTGGGGTTGGCTGGGGGTGTACTGGCCAAATGCTGAGCCCGGGTGTGGGGCTGGAAAGGAAGGCTGGGTTGGGTAAGGGCAGGCGGCTGAAGCCGGAGGCCCGAAAGCGGGCCTGGGGCCAGGGTAGCTCCCAGCTGGGGTGAAGGGCGAGCCGGAACCTGGGTAGGGAGGGATGGCCGGGCTGGAGCCTGCTGCCGCTGCTGCAGGGGGGGGGTTGGGCGTGGTGATGGGGTAGGGGCTGTAGGGTAATCCAGCAGACAAGGAGGCTGGCTGAGAGGCGTTTTGGTAAGAAGAGGACTGAGGTTTGGAGTTCAGCTGCTGCTGATTTGTTGTCGTTGTTGTCGTCTGTTGATTCCACGGTGATGGCGTGGCAGCAGGATCCTGGCTGATGCCTGCTGATGATGTCATGGCGGTGAGATTGCCCTCGCTCCTCTGTCGCAGGATCTCCTGGAGTTTCTCTATCCGGACTCGTCTTTTGTGAGCAAGGGAGCGCAGCGAGAGGAAGCGGTCGAGGAAGGAGTCCAACGACAGAGAGCCCTCCAGAAACTCATCAGCTAGAGCCTGCAGGCGCGCGCGCGCCGCCGCCACAATCACACACACACACACACACACACACACACACACACACACACACACACACAGAGTGATGGTTACTGGTGGGCACATCTTAGACCTAAAACACATCTTCGAAGTACAAGTCTGAAAGCTCTGAGCTCCCTGCTGTGATATGAAATGCCTGTCCTGAAACTTTTAAAATGACACAGCTACAAGTAGACCTCCATATTAAAATGAGACATGTGTTCTTCTGTGAAAGGACAGGTCATACTGTCTGACTGAAGTCTGGTGTTCACTATATCACTACTGTTCCCTCCTGGTGGTTGTTGCTTGTACCAAATGTGAAGGCGATACAGAGATATCATATTAAGACAGATGAAAACATTGATCCTTAAAAAACAGCATTGTTTTTATTTATTGATTCTTCCTACAATTAAACCAGGAAGCTGACAGTGACACTGATCAATCACTACAGATACCAATACTTAGTTCGAGATTTGTGATTTAAACAGTTATGATGTGGCAGAGGAACAGAGAAGCAGACTGAGAGTAGAGGTGGACGATAGGACAAAGCTTGGATGTAGTTAATGGCTTTTTCATAAACATCCACATTAAATTGTCACTAAACTTTTTTTGGACTTCGGATTGAAATTCACTTGATGGTTTCTCTCCTCTCACTCTCTCTTTTGGAGGTCTCTCTCTCTCTCTCTCAGTGCTGCCCTCCAGACTGAAGCCCACAGTCCTCTCATTCATTTGAATGGGGTCAGTCTAGAGACACAGTGTGGGTCAACACAGGGGTCACAGAGTAACTCACAACATAACATCAGAACCTTACCTTATACTGTATGACATGAACACACTGCATCACACAGAGTGTCACAGAGCTGAGAGTGAACAGTATGAGAATGACACATGGCCACATGAAGACAGAGCCACTGTTTACATTACATGCAATATCACAAAATTATCACAACAAGCATCTAACAGCTGTCAGTCAGTCAGTTAGTGTGTCTGCATCACCCTCACTCCAGTCAGGATGCTCTGATTGATCGGCCAATTTTCATTTACCGGTAAGATAGTGATCATCTTCAAACTGATCAGCTGTGGTTAATACTCTGAGATAAGCAAAGTGTGCTGTGTAGTGTAGCCCCACCTCCCACCAATAGGGTCACCAAAACAAAACAACATGTTGCCTTTTGGAACTGTTACAGAGAGTGTGAGACTGATATTGCATATACATGATATATAAGAACATACATATATATATGTATATATATAGTCCAGTCCTGATTCGTGAAGTTTTTACGTTTTGGTTGCTAACAAGTGTATAGTAATGAGACTGCAATGGTTGTTGAGGACGTTAAATGTCATCACGCTGAACTTGAAAACTGATCTACTCACCAGTCCACCTTTACAGCCTTGTTGTGTCGGTACAAACTGTCACTAACTCTGTCATAGGAAAGGCTTTTGTAGAAGAGGTGAGAGCTAAATCAAACTACAAGCTGAAGTTTAGTGGTGGTGTGTGTGACCGTAGTGTTGAAGTCAAGTGACCATGGTGTAGTTGGTTTATAGCTTAACATTAACTTTTCACTTCTGCTGATTGTACTGAGGCTTCAAACATCACAGAGTGGTGTTCATTAGTGAAGATGATCCTGCTGAACAAAACCTGCCAGGATCACAAACTGTTGTTTTTCTCTAATAATCCAAAATGTCAAAATCCCATTGGCTGTTTGTGGAGGGAACCGGGGTGCACACTTTGTTTGTGTGTGTGTGTGTGTGTGTGTGTGTACAGCTCTGCACTGACCTCTGACTCTGCCTCCGTTTTGCTGCCCTCTGCCTGTAGTCTGGAGAACAAGGCCTCTGGAGACACCTGACCCACCATCCCATCTGAGGAGGAGGAGGAGAGGAAGAGCAGGAGAGAGAGTGAGAGAGGTAACAATACATCCCAGCAGGCCACTGTTCACTGAGAGACTGATGACACCTGTGTGCGGTGACATCATTGTAACAGAAAGTGTGAGTGGAGACAAAGAAACTGTCTACATTCACACTGTCATACACTAAGCCATTCACGTCTAACTCTGTCCATCTGAGTCACTGAGACCATGATGATGATGATGATGATGATGATGATGATGATGATGATGATGATGATGATGATGATGATGATGACTTCCACACGTGACACATTCTGTCTTATTTTCATAGTACATGAACATGAAGAGCAGCCAAACAGCTGACCTGCTGCGTCTGAAGATCTAGGGTATGGTCAGTGGAATGTGACATCAATGCTGGGCGTGGTTACAGCTGCACTTCCGACCACACCCAACCATGCTGGCTGCTACTAATGATTATTTCATAATCAATACATTTAATTAGGGGTGGGTGATCTGACTTTGATATATGATCAGATCGCCTCATTAAAAGTTTCTATATTTAGATATTTAATTTCAAAAGTTCAGTCACTGCTAACCAGACCATATTAATTGTTAAACAGCTAGCCCACTAACTGCAGCTGGAGACAGCAGCTCTGGTTCTGCTCTGCAGCCTCGGTGAGTTTGGTGTAGCTCCACATGAATCACCTGAGCAGAACCACTGTCACCAGCTGCAGTCCAAGACGGTGGAGACCTGCTGCAGGCAGGGAGACAGGAAGTGGGACAAGGCCAGGCAGCGACTGAACTTTCAAATTAAAGTACTTACATACAGCACCTCATAAATAAATAACAGTGCTGTCTAAACAGACACTCCATATAAACCAAGTAAAAAATGTGACAGTATTGTGGGCATGTCCACAGGGCATCAGTATGTCAAGCTAATAGTAAATTCTAAGAGTGCCCTCTGCTGGAGAACAAGGCAAACTACTTCAAAGGCCTTGTTGAGGTTAAAGACCGTACATTTTTAATTAGAGCAAATAATTACAGTTGAAATATGAAATCTTTTCACACATTTCAACACAGGTTTATATTTTGAAGAACAGCTCAAGTGAATGTGACAGTGACTTTATCTTTAACTTAAGGAACAGAGGCTAGCCCGGACATGACACCATGATTCTAACCACCTCTGACCTGTTCATGTTTCAACATTATACTATGTATCATATATATATATGATATCTGAAAAATTAAATATTGATGTGGTGTTAATAACGTGTGATAATATGGTGATGACAGATGTTTGACCTTGTGGATCTTGTTTCTTTTCACTGTCCATTGAGTGTAATTGTTGTATTTATAGAGCGTTTGCAGACGGGGCCCAGAGGTTCTGGATCAATCTGCACAAGGAAATCAGGTCGGCTAAGTGTGTGACCTCCTTTAAAGGTGCACTATGCATTCCTGCATGGTTTCAGCGCGATTTTATTTTTGTCTCAAATCATAGGCATCTCCCCTTGATCCGCTAGCTGCCTGCCCCCTGAATACACTGTGAAAAAGCATGGTCTCTGGAGACAACACAGGTGTCACAAACAGCAAACAAACACTAGGGGCACAGGCTGTGCCCCAAAACATAACAAACCACGTTCCAGCCAATCACCGACAAGAACCGACGTAGCACGGATCCACTTTCGTTTTCGATGCGTGTTCATGACAGTCACGGAAACATGGGGGGGAGGGGCGAGCTTGCTCTGTTTTGTTTGGTATTTACTTCGAACGTCAACAGAAGTGACGTCATGCAGGAATGCATAGTGCACCTTTAACACTCTTCTTAAAACTTACTTTCATCAAAGAGCTTTCCTGGTTTTAGTCCATTTATCTTAAAATGACTGTTGGTTTCTATTCACCTTACAGTTTTAATTGTTTTATCTATTGTCTTCTATTTGAAACCTGTTGATTTTATTGCTGCCTTCATCAAGCACATAGATGTTGAAAAGTGCTCTATAAATTAACTGAATAAAATAAAAAGAATATCATTATTTTTATTATTTGTTCACTTTAGACAGTTGTGGTTACAGACTGTCTTTGCCTCCCTACACTCATATCTGAGTCTCATTCATTTGACAAAGAGACGAAACACAATGAACACAGTTAAACATAACATTGATATTATTATTATTATTATTATTATTATTATTAATGTTTTCTATAGAGATCGTGATAACATCGTTATTGTGAATTTTTTGTGTTGTAATTGTGTTGTGAAAATCTGATATAGTGACAGCTCTGATACTCACTGCAGCAAATCAAACAAAAATACAAAAATACTATAACAGTGTACCAATCATATCAATCATATATCACAAGATCACTGTTATGATTACTTTTCCCACTGTTAATCTCAACACCAGCTTTTGTTATTTCTCAGTGTACATGTTCGGACATGAGGTAGGAATCTTCACCTCAAGTCAACATGTGTAATGATACCAACTGATCAATCAGTATAAAAAAGACCCCCACACCCCCCACCCCCCATCCCCCACCCCCACCCCACCTCTGATGGAGCAGTGTTGTCTGTAGGTTTCTCTGACGGCCTCTAGTTGAGAGTATCTCTCCACCAGCATCTCCCTCTGTGACTCCAGACGAGGCTTCATGTCCAGGTTCTGCTCTGCCAGGCTGCGATTGGATGCCAGCGCCATCTCTCTCTCCAGCTGGATGTTCTGGATCTGAGGGGGAGGAAGACAGACATCAGACAACTTCACATTTAAAGGCACTTTGTGGATTCCATTAAATGCAGAGGCATTGTCAGTGCAAATGTCATTTTGTGGTGTGAAAGGCTGGGTACCAAACCTCAGTGCTATCATCAAGTATCACAAACGGAAAAGTGGTCAGATTAAGCATCTCTTTAATTCTATAATCAGATTTAGCTTCAGTTTGCCTCAGATATTTAAGGACTGGGTTCTTTTGTTCTATGAAAAAATGAGGCTTCGCAGAAAAATATATTTCTCAAACTAAGGTATAGGGGAAAAGTATTTATAGTCTAATGGGTAAAGTGCGGCTTTATCAATATCTCTTTAGTATCAGTACCAAAGCTTCCTGAAAAGTGTCCCACCCCTCGGAACACCGAGCACAAGCAGTGAAAGAGTCACTCGGTGGGAAGAAAGACTCGACAACCTTCCACCAGAAACAACAATGGAGCTAAAGGCGAGCGAGGCACTGCCCCCCGGAGCAGATACCAACTACGCAATGTGGAAATGCTTAAACAGACTAAGATCTGGTGTTGGACGTGCAAAAGCCACTCTCACCAAATGGGGACATTTGAATGATGGGGACGCCGTGTGTGACTGTGACACTGAACCACAGACCATGCAACACCTCCTGATATGCCCCCTGCTGGAACAGCCCTGCACAGCATCGGACTTAGCAGAGTTTAATGAGAAGGGACAGAAATGTGTTCAGCTGTGGCTGAACCACATCTAGCCAAGCCTTGTAACTGACTGTCTTGTGGACACGATGAGAAGAAGTACCAAAGCTCAGGTATCTACCTCATGGGTGAAGGACACAGTGAGTCACTTCTTAAATACCAGTGTTGGTGATTTCACATGAGAAATAAATGATGGAGAAGCTATAATCAGTTTTAGGTACACTCTGCCTCAGGGAACACAGGGGTGAGCATCTACAGCAGGTGTCTGTAACATACACACTAAGGAATGAAAGTACAGGAATGGATCTTCGTGGCTCCAGCTGTACCCTAGCAGGGTTCAGCTCTCCCTTCAAACATTGCTGCATTTTTGTACCTTCTTCTCTGGACCTCTAAAAGAACATTTCTGTTCCCCTAGTGACAAAAACGTACCTTTATATCCTGGTAAAAAAATGTACATACCCACTGGAGAGGTACAGGATTGGTGCCTTATTTTTTAAGTTATTTTTGGCATTTTTGCCTTTATTTTTAATAGGAGCAGTGAGAGAGAGAGACAGGAAAGTCAGGGAGAGAGAGAGAAGGAATGAAATGCAGCAAAGAACAGAAAACAAAACAAAAAACTGTTAGTTTACATCTTTAACAAAATCAACATTTTATATGTAAACTGATCCATTTTCAGTGTTTCAATGTATTGTTCTGATATTGTTCTAACCCTAACCCTAACCCCAGTACATGAGAAAAATCAGCTATTCAACATTAAGCTTGAAGCACAAGACTGAGGAGCCATTCTCTAATCACTGAGTGCAACCAAGAGAAATTTCATTTTGGTTTCAGACACAAAACAGGAACAAAGTTAAGTAAAAGTACATTTACAAAATACAAATTCATGACTTGCATACTATATTAGATTCAGTTCATTCAGCAGTCACCAATGATTGTGTACCTTTAAAATAAACAAATGTCCACAGTTATCAACCTGAGGACCATTTCAGCACCTTACACGGTTCATAAAGTTACAAAAGTGGTCGGACACACCCACCAATCCAAGGTAGGTGTGGGCAGAGGAGCAGTACTGGTGGACTACACTAACTTCTGTATGTCAGTAGTTCTAACTGCTGTCCACTGACTTCTCATAACATTCAGTAACTGAATCCAGCTGTTAATTAGTGACTGGTCTTTCCTGGATCTGGTCCCACAGCTGGGGACTGTCAACCATAATCTGCAGCTGCTCAGATCCTGAGTTTATGATTAATGAGGAAAGTCCTGCTTGTGCAGACCAAGTCGTGTCTGTCAATGACCAACTTTGATTAGATGGAAGTGAGTCAAAGAGGTTAAAGGACAGGAAGTGTAGAGAGCTATGTGAAACTAGGTACTAAAATTGAGCTATGCTGACCAAAGACCACATCTCTGGACCGTTAGACTGAATGATGACACACATGAAATATCTCAGTATTTTCTACAGAGCAGGTAAATGTTCAGTTGTAAGAAAGCATCAACCTCCAGGTCTGAAACCTGAAGCATCAACCCTGAAGAACCAAAAGCTGCAGTTCCTATAATGACCACTAGAGTCTGGCTCCAACAGTGGGTCAATAACAATAGATTCCCATGTTAAAATGTCCAACTTTACGGCAGAAATTAACATGTTTACAGCCTGGTACGAAAACAGTTTTGGTGTTTCTAGCTAATTTCTTCCTTCATGACAACTGTTAATATACCCCTACAGTTCACCTACAAAGAACATATTGGAGTGGATGATGATGTCCTTTACATGCTCCACCCGGCCCATTCTTACTTGGATGAGCCAGGTAGTTACATGAGGATTATGTTCTTTGATTTTTCAAGTGCATTTAACACCATCCAACCTCCCATTCTTAAAGACAAGCTGGAAGGGATGGGGGTGGATCCCTGCTTCACGTCCTGGATTGTGAATTACCTGACAAGACGAGCACAATACCTCAGGCTGGGTAACTGTGAGATAGTGATGAGCAGCGCTGGGGCTCCACAGGGGACTGTTCTGGCTCTGTTCCTGTATACGGCGGACTTTAAATACAACTCTGAGTCCTGCCACATCCAGAAATACTCGGATGACACAGCTATTATGGCGCGTATCAAGAACTGGCAGGAAGAGGAGTACAGGGATCTGATCAGTGAATGGAACGACAAGAACTTCCTCCTTCTGAACACCTCCAAGAACAAGGAGATGGTCATGGACTTTCGGAGGTCTAGGCCCACCCTTCAGCCAGTCAACATTCGAGGGAAGGACATTGAGGTGGTGCACACTTATAAATACCTAGGTGTGCACCTAGACAGTAAAATGGACTGGTCCCTGAGCACGGATGCCATCTACCAGAAGGGGCAGAGCCCGGCTCTTTTTCCTCAGGAAGCTCAGGTCCTTTGATGTCCACAGTGAAATGCTGCACATGTTTTATCAGTCAGTCGTGGCCAGTGTACTTTTTTATGCTGCAGTCTGCTGGGGCGGCAGCATGTCAGACATGAACATAAGGAGACTGGACAAGCTGGTAAAAAAGGCTGGGTCTGTGCTTAGCAGGAGTCTGGAGTCACTCAGGACTGTTGTGGAGAGATGCATGCAATGTAAGATGGAGGCTATCTTGGACATTGATACCAACCACCTCTCCACAACATTCTGGCAGGACAGAGAAGCAGCTACAGGTGCAGCAAATGTCTCATCTCACTGTACTGCAGAACAGAGAGGTTCAGGAGATCCATCGTTCCCACTGCCATTAGGCTATACAACACCTCAGCCAAAGGATGTGGACTAATTCAATTATTATTGTTTATTTATTATCAACTGTTATTATCATTATTATTATTATTATTATTATTATTATTATTATCATCAAAAATGAGCTAATGGCCACATGAATTTCCCCTAGGGTATAAATAAAGTATCTATCTGTCTATCTATCTATCTATAAAACTCGCCTGTTTACATTTTGTTAAAGGGGAGCTATTATACTTTTCTGAGTTTTTCCTTACTTAGTGTGTTATATAGGTTGTTGTGCATGTAAATGGTCCCCAGAGTTACAAGGATCAAAGTTTCCATCAAAGGGTAACTCTGTTAGGGTAAAAACCCAATTTCTTCCTTTGTATGAATTGACTCATTAGGGGTCCAGACATTACTTCCTGGTCCTATTGATGTCAGTACCTCTCTTGGTGCTGCCCACCTGCAAGTTTGACATGCCCCCACACAAGGCACAGCACATAACTACTTATGGTGAAGTGTTTCATTCGTTTTGTAGCCATGCCAAAAAGACAGTGTTCTTAATTTCCTGGAGAAATCGCCTTCATTTTTCCATGGTCCTCCACTGCTCCAAACATTATAGTGTGAGCCAACACTTCAAGGAAGACTGCTTCAGAAACCACGCACAGTTAGGTTTCATTTTCACAACGTTTATTTCTGTAATTCACACTTGATGTGGCTGAACAGGGGACTCAGCCTCACAGCCTGTAAGTGTGCATTGTTATTATGGATGTTAACTGTGTTACTGCGACCCGTTCGCAACCTGATCATGTTAGAAGCAGCATAGCAGAGATATAAATGCTTAAACATTTGTCAGTACTGACATGCTGTGCCTCGTTAGCTCAGATAATTATCCACAGTTTAACCGCTGAGTTCGTTTTTCAGTAACTATGCGCACTAACGTTAAATTAATTCAGATTTACCGGCATTGTGTACCAGCAGGAGGTGAAGCCGTGGAGACTCCCTATCTGTTCACTGTCTGTTCCTTCATTATCTATATTCCTTTGGTCCGGAAGTGTCCACAGATTAAGAAAATCAAAAGGGTTTCTCATAAAAGCATTCAAAGTTATGAATATTGTCATTCGAAGTCTTTGCAGACTGTCCAGCTCCTTAATTTGCAGCTCTCTTCATATTTCTTCCTCCTTCCGGCTGCAGGACAGTCGGTACACTTGTTTTCTGCTCCAGTCCAGCTTGTGAAGGTGGATCGGGTCTGTCATCTTCTGGTTCAGGATAATGCAAAACTGAAGTCGCCACAACCAGTTGTTTATACTAGACATGCGGTCACTGCCATGTTAGTTGCCGGTCAGCTCCAGAGGGAGAAGGGGGGCCCGAAAAAGCTCTGAGCTCTAACAGAGCCTTTCAGACAGAGGGTGTACAGAAGAAGAAAAATAATGTATTTTCAGAACATTAAAACATGTAAATCTATTTAGTCGACAACAAGAATGAAATGATGAACACTAAAAATGGCCATTATAGGTCCTCTTTAAGGCTTAAAGTCATGTATAATTGTGGGCATGGCCTCTTTAGGTGACAGGTGAGTGCAG